GTGTGTGTGTGTGTGTGTGTGTGTGTTTAGAGTCACACTGCTTATGTAATCTGTTTTAACAAACAAGAGGAGTAGGTGGTTATAGAAAGATGAGAAACATCACTTGGAAAGTACCTGCTTTAACCTGACATTCAGACTTTAAGAGAGTTCACAGAGGGGCCAACGAGCCATTCTTTCCTGCTTGCTGCAAATAACTTAGTAAGGGAAGATAGTTGAAAAGCTTTTTAAAGTGGCTTATGACATCTTTTATTCCTTAAAGTCATAAAACTCAGTTTAGTGGATAGTTTATAACTTTTCCCTTCTTTCTCGTGAATGCCTATAGTTTTTTTCATTCCTTCTCTGTTATTCCTTTTGTATCATTAACTCCAAAACAGACAAAATAGACTTATATTTTTTACACAGAAAATGCGTTGCCTAATATCAGTCATTTATCACTTTAGATTAATGTGTGTTACACACATGGACCAACGCACTGCAATGAATGGAACCCTTGTGTCCTGCAAAGGTGTGGCAATAAAAGTAAAAAACGAAATTAAAATGTTCCCCAAAAGGGAGCGTGCCAAAGTGACTGATTACCAAAAGTAGTTTATTCTGGGGCTTAAGGGGTGCCTGGGAATCTGAGCACCTCCATCTGGAAAAGAACGCCTGTGTCCCAGGCTGTGCACAGAGGGGCCAAGCATTACTCCAGCGCGTTCAGACCCCATCTAGTAGGGGCCACAGAGAAACCACCCAAAGGTAGAAAGTTAGGCTCCCCCAGCCTTGGACCTCTGAAAATCCTAACCAGGGAGGGAAACTCAGGTCTTGGTCCTTTTCCTCACTTTAGAAGGAATGCAGTGGATTGAGAAGTATTAATAGCTATTTGTTCAGAGTTACTGATACTTTTTTTTTTTTTTTTTTGGTACCGGGGATTGAACTCGGGTCCTTGTGCATGCAAGGCAGGCCACTGAACTACTGCGCTAAATCCCTGGCCTGCTTTTGTTTTGTTTTGGTTTGGTTTGGTTTTTTTTTTTTTTACTGATACTTTTAAAAGGTGAGCAGATTCAAAATAATAAAGTGGATTCAAAATAAATGACTAAGAGTGAGGCTATCGGAACATTAGCGTGAAGATTATATCAATAACATCAACACTGCCAGAGAGTAAGGTGTAAGAGCCAGGCGTGGCTTCTTTGGGAGATATGCTAAATAGTTTCCTTCCTGCCTTTTAATGTCATTCCTGTTAGGTGATACCACGCTTTGTACTCTCTTCTCTCTCCCTTTTTGCTTTCTGGATTCTTAAGATGTTCGTGGGAAAACTTTCCATCCAGGTTTGGTGTTTATAGGCCCCGTGGTCTTCCTGAGAGACCTTGGCCAAGCGCTCTGTAGAAGTAGAACCCGAGACTACAGGGAAGTGTAATGGCGCCCTCCATTTCTGCGCCCTCAAGCCAGATCCACTGTTGTCTTCACCTGAAGCCGGAATGATTTTCAGCAGAACACCCAGTGCTGAGATGCTAACACCCGCACGTGTGGACCCCATGTGATTCTTCCCTCGTTTGTCCCACCGCGTGCCCCATAAGTGAAGCAGATTCCTTTCCCCAGCTCCAGTCCAAGCTCACAAATACTGGCTTGTTCCCTGAGGGCCTTTTTATGCTCTGCTCTTTATCAGCTCTTCTCTTTCCGTTCCCTGGGCATGATTAACCAATGAGTGCTTTCTCTATCACTGGCATTTTGTTAGGCGATTACTGGAAATCTAATGCTATCAGCCAGTGGGGATAACTCTACAGACAGATATAGTTGGGCTGGAACCTCTGGGGCATTATAGATTAATTCCCGTGTCCATTTTACTGCGTGGCCTCAATAAAGCTTCAGAGAAGTGACTTGGGAGGCCCTCTTGTGGTGGACTGCCGTTCCCAAGGCCATTTCGCTAAGGCCGAGCCTAGAATAGTGACTTTATTGTTTTGATTTCATTGCCATCATTATCAACAGCTCCCCACTCGTGAATCTGTAAACAATAAAGTTCTGAAAGCAAATTGGAAAAAATGTAAGCATATTCTGTCTGGTTTTAAATAGCCCACATTTCTCAAATGTGTTTCTGTTTTGCTCAGAATTTGGACCAGTACTTTAAAAGAACAGAGAGTTCAAAACTGCTTCTTTGGAATATTTCTGTCATCTGGAAGTGCCTACACATAAGCCCCATGACGGATCTGCTTGGCTGAGACAGCAGTTGACATGCGACCAGCCCTCAGAATGGAAGACAGAGCCAGCATCCCATGATTCCCGGGGAAATATCCAGCGCTGGCTGGGGAAACAGAGCAATAGTTGGGACACAATAATCTAAATATGTAACTTCCAAAGATAATAAATATTCTGGGTACAACCTCCATAATTATATATCTCAAAACAGAGGCTATAAAGTACCCCAATTGTATTTTATAAACACAGTCAAAACTGACGTTCTGTGACTTCATCCAGATCCTGACTTAAATCTTGACAGAAAAATTTCCAAAGCCTGGATCTCAATACTAGATTTTCTGATTCAAAATGCTGAATGTGGGGGTAAGTTCTGGCTTTAATATTTTTTAAGACATACATTTCTGAGTGACTGCAGTGTGCAGCTAAGACAGAGTGACAGCAACCTCAGATCCACCTGGTGGGATGGGACAGGTACCAGCAGAAGAGGCGCCCGATTTGTACATTTTTTTTAAGGTGCTAGGCTGTGCCATATGTGAACAGCCATGCTGCAGGTTGATTTGGAACATCTTTAGAACCGCTCCACCTTTGTAAGGACAAGGATTTGTCTTTCTTCTTCAAATCCTGTGATCGACCCTGGCGCAGAGGTGCTCACCGTGTCTGTTAAATGGAACGTTAATGAAAGTGCCCAAGACTCTCCTCAGGGGCAGACGGGCACTTAAGATTCTGCTCAGCAACTGAGATTGTGATCCTAAAGGACTTTAAAAATGGCAAAGGACAGATATTATTCTAGAAGCTGGAAGGAATGATTGTATAACATGTGTGTCACCGATAATAGCTTCTCATCTTTAACATGAGTTTATTTCTTCAAGTCACTTTCCCATCCTTTCCATCTCCTTTCCGGTAAAAATAGAAACACCACACCCCTTTTTGCTGTTACATATGTTTACGGCTGTGAAACAATGTAAGAAAGAAGTCAGAAGCTCCCGACTCTCGTTACATCCAGGACTGTGACAGTATTAAGAAAATGAATACATAACTGCTTCATGAATCTTCAGGATTGTCGGAATGACAGAAAACTACAGACTGCGTGTGTGCTGTCAGGCTGAAGGCCACGCTGCTCTGTTTATCTCCAGAGAACTTCCAATACTAAGTCAAATCCTTTCCCCTTTGTGTTTTGATCCAGCATTTCTGTTAGCTAAGGATGCAGTCTCCCCGAGAGTCATCAGAACAAACGCTCTCTGCTCTATGACTGTTGAAAAATAAGAGTATCTTCTCCCTTGTCTGGACCTTGAAGAGAACTAAATTTAAATCTCACAAAGCCAGAAAGCAGCCTCTCCCTCTCCCTCACAGCCAACGTTCATATTCCTGGGCTTCACTCCCTTGCCTTGAACTGCTTGGAATGTTAAACTCCAAGGCACTCCACCGGGAATGAGAAGACCTGGGTTCTATTCCTGGCATGGCTGGTGCGTGGCTCTGTGACCTTGGGCAGATGACTTCACCCCAGGACCTCTTCGCTCCTGTAAAATGAGAAGAGTATCTGGCAGATGTCAGAGGCACTTCTGGCTCTAAAATTCTGTAAGTCTGGAAACACCTGCCAGTGACATTTATGCATTCAGTAACCCTCTTCACACCAAATTTTTCTACTTTGTGGCTTAATATCATTAATGTGGATCTTTTCACATCTTTTTGTGATATTGCTTATGTTTCTTGATAGCACCTGCTGTTTCTACATTTCCTTCCTGTTATTATATGCATTTCTTTACATATGTATTATACATTGAAATAGGATGAATAGGTCCTCAGGTATGAAATTGTAACATTTTCCAACACAGTGCAGTCCTTTGGGTAAATATTTGTTTTTGGAAGATTAAGTGTTCAAATGGCTTAAAAGTAAACTGGAGCATACAGCACATTCCATATAATTCCATACGATTTTCAGCCATTGGGACACCTGCTTGAAAATGTAAGGCCTGTCACTGTAAGTACCCCGTCGTCTGTATTTTCAGCCCATTTATTTTACCTATATGATTATAGAAATGAAATTTTTGGTGACTAGTTGTTCCCTTCACATCCTATCATCTAATCAACTTACCTAGGAGATGTGATCAAAATGCATGGGGAATGTTTAAATTTAAAGAAGCACATTAAATGTAAGATGACACAAGTGCGGTGATCTCACTAAAAATATCGCCCCTATCTTTGAACACTCGTATCACATCACCTTTCTTCCCACTTTCTGGAGTAGTTTTTTAAGTGTCTTTATGAGGTGTGGTTAACACTATGGTGAAGGTTGCCAGGGCATGCTGTGTTCAGGAAAGACAGGCTCATAAAAGCGTCACGATGGGTCCTTTTCTACTTGGTTCAGCAAATCTGCCGGCGCTGTGTGATTTCTGGCTCTTCCCTAAAGGCAAAATGAGCGTGGAAGGTAAACATCTGCAATCAATTCAGGACATCAAGGCACAACCAAAGACACTTATAAGAGAGGACTTCACAACTGCTCCAGAAAGAGGCAAAATGGTGAAATGCCTGGTGGACATGAAGGAAATGGCAGTGCGTCTTACTGTAATACTTTGTGGGGGTGAGACAGGGCCTCATGGTGGGGCTCAGGCTGGCCTTGAGCTCACTATGGAGCCCAGGCGGGCCTCGAGCCCACAGTGGTCCTCCTGCCTCAGCCTCCTGAGTGCTGGGGTCACGGGCATGTGCCACCATGCCTGGCTACAGTACGTTTTTTAAATTGAAGCATTCACTGCAGTTATTTGTCATATTTTTTACATTTTAAACTCAGCTCTGTCAGGACAGGAAGCCAATGAAGCATCTGCAGTAAACAACTCCTGGGATTCTCAGGAAGAAAGGCTGAGATATGATCGACATCAGTATTGTTCAGTGACTGTGAAATACTGTAGAGCCTGGTGTAGTTTCCCCTGTGACTTAGCCACACCCTTTGTGAATTTCTGATAGGACTTAAGAGAGAGTCTGTTTCTTCCTGTGAGACTGGAGGGGAAAAGGCCTTCACCTGATGTACAGAGAGGACCACAGAAGCTGAGAGGTGTGGAATGAACGTGCGGAGAAACCACGTCATTTACTAATTCTGCATCACTGCCTTTGAGTAGCTCCCTTCATTCTACCACCCAGAGTCATCTCTGTTTTGCTAAGAGTAGAGGCAGACGAGAGCTAACATTTATTGCATGCCCGTCGCTGTTCGCACCCCCTCAAAGCCCTGCAGCCGTTCGAAGTAAAGCGAGTAGCTGTGTAAGGAAGGAACAGCTTCTCAGTTCGCACAGTTCAGTCGTGGCACAGAAACCTGGGTCTCTGACGAAATCTCAGAATCTCCAATCGGGGAAACCATTTCCAAGCCCTGTCCCTCCTCCACATAGATGTGTCTCTGTAAACTTTGGAAGATGCTTTCTTTGCCTCTCTAAGGCAGGGTTGGAAGATTAGAATAATATTTAATGCACAGCTGCTTAGAGGATGGCCTGAGATAGAGATCTCACCAAAGTGCTCATCACAGAGTCTTAGGGAGACTGACTGTTATTACCGTCACTGTTACGCTGGTTGTTATTGCTTCTGAGATTTTGTCAGACTCTGACAACATGAGGCAGGATGCCTTTCAGCTGCCCTACGTGTATTAAGGTCCTATTAGGGACAAATTGCTATTATTAAACATTTTAGATACTCATGAAGTATATTCAGGAAGCCAGCACAAGTAATATGGAAGTGAGTATGCGGTACATTAAAGACCACACAGGAGATGCTCTCAACTTGAAAATAAGACCTCAGTATTTAAACTTTAGCCTGCTTGCTGAATGAAACACAAAATCACTTGAGACTTTTTTGTTCACTATAGTAAACCAATCCTCATTAGATACATGTCTCTGCAACACCATCAGAAAAGAAAGAAAGAATAAATAAAGGAATGTATGTATGTCGCTGGGAGGCCAAGTCTCGTAGCATTTCTACAGCAGGCCAACTTGGTCGTGGTTCGGGGAGCCTTTTCCATACTCCGGCTTCCTTCGTGCAGGGCGCCTGAGTTGAAGACAAGTACGAGGCTCTCTCACCGTGGCTTTTCTTGACTTCCCCTAAGAAGCAGTCCCCTCCTTCAGCCCTGGCTCCGCTTTGTGATGCGAAGGCAGCGCAGTTGGTGGAGATGCAGGCAACCTGCCGTCCTGCGCAACACCGCGCACAGCTAGAGGCTGGTCTGCGTGTGCCCCATTCCATTTTATTGGAGGGCAACATTTCAGTAAGTTTTCGCCAGCTCTTTGAGATTATGTGTGGACAGATGAATTAGAGGCGGTTATATGTATAATCCCATCTTACATGTATGATACACTGTACGTGTATAAGAATCATAACCACTGCCCTTGCTCTTCTGCCACATCCAGACACACAGCTGAGTCCATCCTGACAGCTAGCTGAGAAAGGGGAAGAGAGAAATGCGAGGAGACGGATGGCTTTTACCCGTAAGAAATGAATTTACTTTTCTCAATAAAAGAAATCTAAAATTGACCATTGTCATCCTGGGATGTTAACCGCCAGCTCTTTTGGCAAAAGCCTGGGCTCTGTCAGAGAAGTTAAAACCGTCCTGGACCAGGAGTTGTTTACCCAGTAGGGAGCCGCTCTAAAGTTACCGAGCTGTGGTTGGGAGCAGAGGGTTGAAGGCGGCCTCCAAGTCACTGACGTCACTGGAGTCTCGGCGGGCGGCCGCGGTGACCCTGAGCTCAGCTCCGACTTTGGAAAGCGGTGCAGGGTTCAGGGGGACCTGTCAGTGCTGCTCTGTGGGATGGCTTGACGGATTTGGGTCCCCTCACCCTTCCTTCTGTGCAGAAGACTTACTGAGCTGAGTTTTGCTCCTCGGACAGCGAGCTCTCCACTGTTCTTTCCCCGGCTAGATAGGAGGGGGGTCGAGCTGCTGCAGCACTGCGCCCCGGGGCAGAGGTACGTTACTTTCTGGCCAGATGGGAAGCCAGGGACTCCCGACTGCGAGAGGCGGAGGGGCTGCCGCTGTGGGTGCTGGGGAGCAGATTTCAACATCTGCTCCTGCGGGTGTCTGGGTCTGGGCTGCAGAGCAGTGGGCGGGTCCTTAACGGATTGTGCTGCCTGCGGAGAGGCCTTTCAGCTGCTAACGTTGGACTTATTAGGGTGTAGCTTGTGTTAGAACGAAGGCTTTTAGTATTTGAAAATGAACGTCCACACCCCTTGAGACTGCTGGGATTGGAAAGTTGCAATGAAAAATAACGTGATTTCGCTGAAGGTCATGGTGTGCATGCAGGATTAGTGTTTCTCTCATTTGAGCCGAAATCTGAGCCGTTCAGAATGGGTTCATCTACAGTAAGGAGGAAATCTCACCACTGTATCTTCTGTTCGAGATTTTCTACCTGTGTTTACCCGAGCCGAGACTGTTCATCAACACTTCTATTTTATTAAGAAAAGTAAAATCTGTGTCTCTAGCTTCTCGTGGTTTCTTCTGCTTTCTAGTTTGAGTAAATAACTGAGTATACCAGGAGGAAAGAAATGATAATTATGTGACAAACTACATTGATTGCTTGGGAATTGCAAGTGGCTGCGTCTCTTTGACCTCGTTGGAAGAGGAAGAACGGTGCTGAAATAGCAATAAAAAGCAGCCCTTTAAAAAATGCCTTTTTTTCCTGTAGAAAAGCCAGGTCAGGGTGGTCTCTGGAAAGACGTGTTTACTGAACAATAGAGGAAGAGTGGATCTGTTAATCAGTGGAAATGAGACCTGGGATTGATGATAGACTGAAAGGGGGCTAGAGGATTCTGGAAGTAAATGGTGCATTACTTGGATGGGTACAGGCGTGGGAATTCCTGATCTCTCAAAGTAGTAAAAAGCAAAGCAACTTCGGGCCAGCTGATTTCTTCCAGGAACTGCGAGGCTGGCAGTGCCTGCTGCACATAGCATTCCTATGGAGTATGCGACCTCTTATAAATGAAAATTCAATTGTGTGAAAAGTAGGCTGTTTAGAAAAAAAGAAGTAGAAAAGGAAAAAGAAAAGCACAAAACTGAACAGAAATCCCAAAGAGAGAAGTGGCAATGAAGTCACCGCTTTGAATATTTAGTCTGTTCGGCTGAAATCGTGTTTTCGGTGAGTTGGATGTTGAAACGGCCATCAGCGAGCACACAGGAAGGGAGGACGGAAGTGCCACCATGACACAAGGGCGGCAGATCTGGGGCTGAATATGGCTTATGGCGGGGCTTGTGTGGCTCCCGGTGGGGCTGAAGGGCTAGCAAACCGTGTGGCCCATCACCACGCTTTCGCAACCCACTCACAACCCTTTACAGTCCTGGCGTCCAGCCCTGGGAAGGAGAGGTCGGCTGAGGGGGATTATGTAACCCCAGCTCAGTTGTTGGGGAAGAACATGACTAAGGCCGCTCGCCCTTTGTGCGTTTGCTCTCATAAATTTTAATTCTGAATGAAACTCTGGAAGGAGTCAAGTGAGATGGAGAGCAAAGGGATATTTGGGGGAGGGAAACAAAACTCCTTCCTCCTCTCCCTGGCGGATGCCGAGCTCTGTGGGCGGAAGAGTGACAGGAACAAAGAGAACGTTTATATTTTCCGCAGTGGAGACACTAAAACTGAGCTTTTAAATCACCATATCCATTTCACTCTGTAACTTCTCATCACAGAACGTTCCATCCCTGCAAAGTTTGATTTTTTAGTATTTCATTTAGAATTATAACCAAATCAACTCATAGATGATTTATATTTAATATTTTACTAACAAAATTTTTTTCTAAATAGTTAACATTACATATGTCCTTAAAAATACTTGAAAGATACTAAGGCAAAGAAAAACCATGGAGAACAGGAGGAGCATTTACACCATTAGATTTGCTTCTTTTCATTTTCTAATTAAATATTAAAATAATCAACTTAACTCCAAACAAAAGAAAAGGATCCAGATAAACAGAGGGAGAGAAAGAAGAAAGCATTTATCAAGCACTTATCTTTCTGGTCCACAATTTAGGCACTTTTGTAAAGCATTCTCTTGCTGAAACTTCTAGACAGTTCTGTCTCCCTTTATCGTTACAAGAGGATGGAATATATTCAGTTTTATTACACTTGATATTTATATTTATGACAAGACTGAAATGCTAGGAAAGCTAACTAAATCCTCCCACAAGAAATTGGCACAGATAAACATTTTCTGTAGACATTTTCTTGCAAGGCCTTCCTTTGATCTACAACCACTATGTTTTCTGGCAGTAGGAGTTGCTCTGGAGAGGGGAAGCTCTGAACTTTGGCCCTTCTCCAGAGTAAGTGAAGAGTTTGGCATTTTGCAGAGCGGCACGGGACTCAAGGAACCTTACCTGGGCTCAGAGTCCTCTTACCAGAAGCAAGACTCAGTGTTTTTGGATGATCGTCAGGTTGCCACAATAGGAGAGGTTCTGGCCATTTTCAAACTGATACAGAAGTGTTTCAAGAAAAGTTGGGAATAGAAAGCAAATTTGGAATCATGTGCTCCATAATTATTGGAAAACTATGACGATGATTTCTGGACTTTTCCAGTGTTTAAAGGCAGTTGGCGTAAAGCAAAGACTATCATAGCATCTATTACCCGAGAATCTGGTAGTGTGCACCCTCTGTGTAATTTCTTTGGTTAAATCTGTGGCTATCTCTTGATATTTCAAACTACTTTACTCTTCCCAAGAAATTCCACCAGTAAAGGACTTCTAGTCAGCAGGACGGCTTCAGCTCACAGTTACATGTGGCTGTAAAGTTGTAAGGCTGCCAGTCTCTAAATAAGCAGAGGCTGCACATCCTGGGGATGATTGTTAGATAGATTACTAGGTAATTAGGATCAGTGAAAGTTAGATGAACCAAAACAACGAAAAAACCAATTCTGTAAATACTTTACTATCTTCATTTTGTTAGGCCTTTGTAGACATTTATTATGGCCAGTACTTATGCTTACTGGATTGTAGGGTGGACAGGAACCAAAGAAAGGATGACAGAGGGGAGAGAAAATGAAGGTAGAAATAAACATGGCTAAGAGAATAAAATAAGACACAATAGCATCTTTATGGCTAAGTTTGGAACTATTATTTGCTTGCATTAATCATGATATTGTGAGTGCAAAAACATGGGTAAAAATTACAAAAATATCTTTAGCAAACAGTTTGGTACAGCAAACAGCTCTGCGCTTATCTGCCAAGAGTCAAACCCATCTTCTGTTGATCTCAAAATTATTAGAGTATTTCTGAAGGTGGGGCCCTACAAGAGGTACACTTTTAAATGCTTCGTTAGGCTTATAATTCACTGGTAGACTGTAGTTCAAAACTGTGTCTCATCCCAATATGTATGTTCAGAACAGTTTGATAAAACTAAGACTCATTTGATTTTATATATATATGTGTGTATATATATATATATATATACACACATATATATATAAAATCAAATGAGTCTTAGTTTTATCAAACTGTTCTGAACATACATATTGGGATGAGACACAGTTTTGAACTACAGTCTACCAGTGAATTATAAGCCTAACGAAGCATTTAAAAGTGTACCTCTTGTAGGGCCCCACCTTCAGAATATATATATATATATATATATACACACATATATATATATATATATCTGATTTAGGGGGTACATATCTGCTTCTATACCCTATGAATACAAAACTCTGCTCACTGCCTGTTTCGGCTTAATTTTACAATACCAGCACCTATGGGATAGTATTTATTGGAAACTTCACACATAACGAGCATAGGTGGAAATTGGGAAGTTATGGCATTTTGGTATCCCCTTAGCTACTGAAGAACTGGTTTTTTTCTGAAACTAGGGATTGAACACAGAATCTTGCACATGCTAAGCACATATGCTACCACTGAGTTGCATCTCCAGTCCTCAGTTTCTTATAGGCACAATTATTTTAAACAGGTTTATGCATTTTTAAATATGCTTTTCTACACACTAAAAAGATATATAACTTTCTTAATAAAAACTATTTTCAGTTTAAGTCAAAGCAATATTTTAAGGTCAAAAAATAAAGAAACATCAGCCAAGCCTGGTAGCACATGGCTGTCATCCCAGCACTTGAAAGGTGCGGCGGGAGGATCACTGTGAGTTCAAGACCAGCCTGAATTACAGAGTGAGACCCCATCTCAAAAAAGCCAAAAAATAAATAAATAAATAAAAAATGTCTCCCACTTCTTTGCATTCAGGATGTCATTTAATGTTTATAACTATTCTGTGAATCCTTCAACAACTTATAAAAGAATTACATATCTGTTGTTTTAACTTGTATCTTCAAACCCTAAACGTGCATAGCCTGAATATTGACAGTCTAATTATTTCAGTCACCACAGTAAGAAGATTCTCTGCAAGTGAAATTAAAACTTTTCTTTAATTCTTTCTATCTCATGTCCTGAACAGGTTATCATTCATATATTATCATCAAAAGGAAAACAGAGCATTTATTAAATTTTAATCTATGTCTCACAAGGTAGTTTCAATGAATTTAGATTTTACTGGATGAAGTAAAAGTGATTTCTGATGGTATGTATTAGCTGTCTCCCAAGTTGGGGTCCTGGCAGGGACAAGAATCCCATTTGGCATTTGGAATCACATTTGCTGCCTGGGGACAGAACTGAGCCTCTAGGCCAGCCCTGTGTCAGAGCAGGAGTCATTCAGCCTCATAGATTGGACCATATGGTTGAATTTCATGCTTGAGCTCTTAGCTTTCCATAACATACTCTATTTTTAGGTTAGGTAGGTAGTTAAAGGAATACTTACGTGTCCGTGCGCATTCAAGCATCTTATCCACTCTAATTTTTGCACGCATGTCTCTAAAAGGGGGAAAAAAGTAAGAGACCAGAGACTACTTTATTAACTATGTTAGTTTCCCCTTAAGCAGATTGTTGTTATCTCTTCTCTTGGGAAACCAGTTTTCTATAGTTTGTGTCTGCATCTCATGGCAAAATAACTAAATATGTTTCCAGAAAGCACACAAATGTGGAACTCTCCTTATGTTTGCATTCGGCTTTATTTTAAAGGCAAGTGAGACTGCTTCGCATAAAACAACCCCCAGCTTCCAAGAAACAGTGAAGAGAAAGCAGCGACAAGCAGAAACACGTCTCTGCTGACACTCCTTGCACAGCTGCCATGGACCTGCCAAAGCAGTGGGGGGACACAGAGACTGACTGGCATAAGGAGAAGATGGAATTACTGGACCAGTTTGACAGTGAAAGGGAGGAGTGGGAAAGTCAGTGGAAAATCATGCAGAAGAAGATAGAAGAGGTACGTGCTGATTTATTTTGAATATACCGTTGAGCTCAAACTCAGGATGAAAATTCTGGTGATGTTTGTCCTGTAGTGGCATCTTAGGGACCATGCTCATTGTACAGCCCTGCATGGAAGTGAGGACCTTGACATGTCACTCTAGAATGCCCACGTCTGATTCTCAGGATGGTGAGGCTTGAGGTCAATTGTTGTATGCATCCTGCATATGCTGGTAGATGTCAGGGCCTGTGAGTACAACTTAAGAAACACATAATTTGTGGAAAATATACTAGAAAAAGTATAATTGGGCACCAGAATATAGATTTCCTGAGATTTATAAGTAATGTGTAGCAAAGGAAATTACATGTCAGATAGCTCAGTATAAACAAACGTGTTATATATCAAACAGAAAATGGCAGGTAACGTGAGGTTTTTTTTTCTGGTAAAGTATACTGCATTTATTAGGAAGGGGATTATGAAAAATGACATGCTAAAACTCTAATGCAGTCTCTGCATTCCCTTTTACCATCCCTTAGCTTGATAGACCTAGAGTATTTCCTACAAGCATTTGCACTGGTGTATAGTTAAACTCCTATAACTGTGAGCTGGAGAATGTTTATACTTGCCTTGCTTTATTCTGGTAAATCCACAGCATTGACTCATATGGCTTTCTGCCTCTTACCAAAACAGCTACGTTAACAGATTCCTCGGCCTTTCTTTGCAGGCAATAAAAGTAAATGCTTTAAATGTTTATAATGGAATTTTTTTTCATATTGACAAACAGGTAACTGTTTATGAATAAAATAAGAATTGACAAATTTCCCAGCCAAAATGAAAAAATAAAAGAGAAGGTGGACCTATGGTATATGATCAGAGATTAAATGGTAGATCCACTTCTTGTCCCTTCATAGTTTGCAAAACATGTTCTGCTTTGTCCCTTAAACTCCCTTCTCTACCCAGAGACTGAGATTGGATCAATTGGGAGATACCTTTGTTAAGACTCTAAAACTTTAATTCAGGCAGAAACTGACTTAGTCAGGGATTGTTGGTTCCCAAAGGTTTGGGAGGTCCAGGTGGTAACAATCTCAGATAAATTTAGCATCCAACAAAATAATTAACGGGTGCAGGATTAGTCTAGTCTGCTACTCAGCCATGTAGCTAAAATGATCTGCTGACTGGTTAACTTTGCTGTGGTTCAATAATTATTCTGCCAACTGTACACACTCTGTGCGGTAAGTATTACCCTTCCAAATTAGCAGACAGTATTCATTCTTTCAATAGGATTTTAAGTGATAGAGCGGCCCTTCCTGCTTCAGGAAGCCAGAAGGGGCTGCAGGACTTCTTTGTCATCTTAGAGAGTCACTCTTATGTTATTATGTTTTGCTGCCTTGGTAGACAGCAGGTTTGTATAGCTAATGTGTTACACAAATTGCCCATAGATTATGCTTTTCAGCAAGTGAATACAGGCAATGTGTGGGTGTGGGTTTACAGGCTGCCTAGCTGGCATATGAACATTGAGAAAACAGGAAGAAGGTATTTTCACATATCACAGAATGAAGGAAATTTTCTAAAGTCAAATTTTTTTAGAAAATCCATACTTGATTCCCAGAAAAATTGTTTCATTCCACAAACATAGTAGGCTGTATTTGTTTCGTGTGGAGCACTATATTCTGGGTGTGAAATCATAAGCAAAGTTTTGACCTATGTGCCAAAGAATCATAGACTCCAGTTGCGCGCGCACATAGAACTTCAGAGCCTTCAAAAGGTGACCCCGCCTAGTGGGCACCTGTGGCTTTCGGCTCTGCGGTGCTCACCATTCCCTTTTCAGTCACTCTCCACAGTCACTGCATTTACTATGAAATAATCAAGATGTACGTACCTGGATCGCTTGAAACTTAGAATAATCCAAATAAGGAGTCGGGATTATTTGGACACTGGTTGCAGTTCGTAGACATCTGGAGAAAACAGTCCTGGCTTCAGCTTCCAGTGTTTTCTCCGTGTCTCCTTTGGTGGAATGGTCAGATAACCACTGGCAAGGGCTGAGCACCAAGTAAGACAGATTCCCTTGTGCAAAATAAACGGCCTTCCTTCCCCCATTGCCTTGAGCTGGTTGTTTATTCATTCCCACCTGGAGAGCCAAGAGAATTCACCATGGAGTAAAAGCACGCATAAGGCAAAGTGTGCTGTATAGAAGTAGAAATTTCACTTGGAGACCATAAGAATGATTGTATGTTAGATGCAGCAACACTTCTTTTTAGTGACTAACACAAAAATTACCAAGTGCATATTTCTCAATATTCAAAGACAAAAGCAAACCTATTTCCCAGGAATAGCACTTTTCCCCCTTGTTCTGAAACCAAAACTATTTTGTTTCACCCATGACTTCTCCAAAAAATGGCAACACCACCCTTAGTTTTTTTCTTTTTGTTTTTTGTTGTTTTTGTTGTTGTTGGTGGTGGTGGTGGTGGTGCCAGGGATTGAACTCGGGACCTAGGGCTTGAGAGGCAGGCGGCAGAACCACTGTGGAGCTAAATCCCCAGCCCACCCTTAGATTTAACACGCCACCACATAGAGTTGCTTTTAGAAATATTCCTCATCATGACCCCAAGCCTTAGGAGGTTCACCAGCCCAGGATAAACAATTTTACAGAGACTAAAACTATTGATGCACAGCTGTTGTTTAATGCTGTCCTGACCTTATGCAGTAACAACTCAAATTCAAAAGTATTAAGAAAATAAATCACCGTATATCTTTCAGGTGTCATTTACGTGTAATGCTTTTCTCCGTTGCATTTAGGTACCTAGTAAGCAGCGATATATTTGTCCTTCTGTTCCTTGCATAGCAGTGCATGTTATGCAGACACTAACTGGCTGTGAAGTGCAGCCAGGTGTGTTAGTGTCTATCTGACAGATTCTCTGGAAAGCTGAGTAGCCCTTCCAAAACCCAAGCCTTGCCAGGCGTGGTGGTGCACAACTGTAATCCCAGCACTCGGGAAGCTGAGGCAGGAGGATCGCTGTGAGTTCGAGCCCAGCCTGGGCTACATAGTGAGTTCCAGGTCAGTCTCAACTACGTAGTGAGACCCTGTCTCAAAAAAAACCAAAAACCAAAACCCAAGCCTTGCCAGGCGTGGTGGTGCACAACTGTAATCCCAGCACTCGGGAAGCTGAGGCAGGAGGATCGCTGTGAGTTCGAGCCCAGCCTGGGCTACATAGTGAGTTCCAGGTCAGTCTCAACTACGTAGTGAGACCCTGTCTCAAAAAAAACCAAAAACCAAAACCCAAGCCTAAAGAGAAGGCCGCTTTCCTTCCAATGTCTAGAAGTGAGCTGGACTGCTGCAGGCAGAGCACAGATCTCATAAATACACTATGGGAGTCTTAGGACTCGGTTGTCACATCTGTTTTAACCTGAATGAGGGACTATTTTGAGAACCTGTGTATATGTGGCATTGGGAGATTCTCAGTAATCTGGAGCCCTCCTCGGTGTAATTAGTGTTACATTGTTCCAAAGGGCAACATTTCAGGAAAATGTTTGCAAGGAGACATTTTTGGGTGACCAAGGGCCTCTTTAGGGAGCAGGATGCATTGACTTACTACTGGAGATTATCTGCCAGTTAGTTCCATGTTGGTATATAAATAAGGTCACATTTTAAAATGCTTGTATTGTTAGTTAAGCTCTTGGTCCTTTCTGAAGCACTGGGAGAGCACGGCTATGAACTGATGCAGCTCTTTCCGATTTTGTGACAGTGCTTCTTCTGCACCTGTGTACAGGGACACAGGTTTCTTTCATTTTTCATTGAGTTGCTTTTCGGCCCAGAAGACAGAACTTAGCATCCGTGTGCTGCCCTACTACGAGAGGTCTTTTTAGTTTTCCAAGGTGGCTGCAGCTAATCCGTGGGTACAAGGTCTATTTGGAGTCAGGGTAGTGGATGGTAATATGGCAAAGAGTGCAAAGTGATTTGCTCAGTTACAAAAAGCGCTGGCCAAGTCAGCTAGGGCAAAAGAGTTTTAACTGTTTTTATGCAGCTTTGCCAGGAAGTAAAGCTTCGGAGGAAACTCAACAGGAGTGAGCGTGCCAAGGTCATCGGTCGCCATCATGAGAAGGGCGCTGGAGGTGGAAGACAGGCGTCGTCCCCCAGTGAGCCGCCGGGCTCCGGGAGCCACGAATTTACAGCCGGGGGTCACAGCGCTGTCCCGACAGAGAAACACGGCGCAGCGCAGAGCTCACTGGGTGAAGCAAAGGCGGTGTGTCGGGAACAGAAATCAAGCAAACAGTCAGAGGTGGGGTTCATGGATTCATTGGCCACAGACACACAAAAGGAGAGTGAGGAGGCCAGGCGGGGTCGCGGGACTTCGGAGGAGGAGGAGAGGAAGAGCTGCTCTGGAGCCCTCAGCACAGTGAGTGAGGCCGCCCCGCTGCAGACTTTTCTAGAACTCGTAGGTTTCAGGGTGCTAACCTGCTCTGTGTCTCTCTGTACAAAGGCTCTGGAAGAACTCGCCAAAGTGAGTGAAGAACTGTGCAGCTTTCAAGAGGAAATTCGGAAACGGTCTAACCACAGAAGGTGAGCGGGGGCTCCGCGAGTATTTTATTGTAGAAAACCAGAACAGGACTGTTTGCCTCCTCCTTACATCTTATTAGTGAGAATGAAGGAGTTAGTCGAGTGGAGGTGAGGTAGATAGTGTATGTTTCTCTCTTCACTAATTCTTAAAACAAATATTGCAATTCTTTCTACAATTTAACTATTGGGAGTACTTTATTCTCTTGGTAATTAGTAAAGCAAACCTTCCATGGAGAGTTAAGAAATGACTTCTTATATAATTTTTTTAAATTTTATTTTATTTTTAACTGAGAAAACGGTGCTTTACTTTACATAATAATGTTTGCACAACTCACTCTCTGGGAGGAAAATTTGGAATTATTACTAAAAGTATTGACACCTTCATTGTGCGAATTAATCGCATTTTCTGTGATGTTTCTCTGCATGCCTGCCTCGTGGCTTGATCTTGTCCATCCGCTCTTCTCCCTTCAACCTCCTCCTTTCTCCTCAGCACCCCTCCCAGTGCCTATTGATCCATCCTTTACTTTCTGTTTCTTTCAACATGTAAGAGAGAAGATATGATGCTTGTAATGCAACATTTGTCTTTCTGTGTCTCATTTATGTTCATCACTTTGGTGCAAATGACAGGATTTTATTCTTCTTTGTTGGTGAATAATATTCCATTTTGTGTATGTACCATATCCAATATAGTTCTCTTTTATTTTGAGTACTTGGCCAATGGAAGAGTACACAAGTGGACTTACTCTGTTAAATACACCCTTAAACCATGTCAGAAATTAAGAATGTGGTATGATAATTATATTTGATGTTCTCTTGAAACACTTTACCTCTAAGAGTCATTATTTCTCTACAATTACTATTGACAGAGAAAGACATACATAATTTTCAGAATAAAACATGACAAGTATGTTCACACATACACATGACCCAAAAAATGCTATTTCAATTCAGAAATAGTACATAATTATGAGAGCAAGTTTTAGCCAAATTATAAATTAATTTTAAAGTCTCCACATGACTACCAAAGATGGGTTATGCTGATATCAACATTTCTCTCCTGGAAGCACCATATGCTCCTCCTAGAAGTAACAAAAGTGAGCTCCCTTATTTTTCCTTAGCTCCTTGGAAGCTTGCAGAGAATTTTTGTACAGACTTTCAGTAGATTTGCTAATGCACTGTGTTCTATACATGATTCTGTCCTCCACTGGCCCATGTAGCTGTTCCTACTGTTCTGGCAGTGGGTATTTACCTGCACTTTATTGGAAGCCAATCATTTATTAGTTGAATAAATATAAATGACTTACATTTATCGATATGATAAGTTTGATTTGTGAATCCATATTCATGCCATATTTGAGGATTCTACTTAAATAACTCAGAAAAAGACTTATTTTCCAGTTTTTGTTTACAAGTAACACCTTGTTCAAAACTCACTTTGTCACCCAGTGAAAAAAGTTCAAAATCTTTTACACATGATTCAAAGATGTTGCAGTTTTTCCCAACAACATCACACTTTGACATGACTTTTCACATTTTTCATTGTTTGCCCTACTCTGCTTTCATTCTGTCTGAATATCAGATGCTCATTGTTTCTTAAACAGCCTCGCTGTTTGGTCACAGCTCCCTGCCTGTATGCCCTTTACTGGACTCATCCAAAAAATAAAAAATTCTGACTTTTCTTTTAAGCTCAAATGACACCTTCTGTTTGGAATTACTTACGTCTCATTGCACTTTTGTTCAGCTTTCTTACTACCTAACTTGTTATTTCAAATTCAAGAGGAGGAAATTGAGCCTCCATTTCCAGATGAGTAGGAATTCCAAAGGCAAAGAGGAGGTAAGGAAATGGCAAGAGAAGAGCTATAGAAATGGCAACTCGATAGCCATAGCCAAAACTCATGAGATGACATAGTTCAGTCAGTGTACTCTGAAGTTTCAAGTAATAGGGAAAAATGACGAAGACTGGAAATCAGGCAGAGAGCATAGAGCCATGAATGTAACACCAAGTGCTGACTTAAAACTGCATTAAGACAGTCTTGAGGTTTTTGAGTAGAAAATTTACATAAAAATTGCATTTGAGAAAATGGTGACACCCTGTTCTGTAACACAAACTCATAGTTTCTTTTAGGAGCTCATCCTAAATACAGCTATTGCTAATGTATCATGCCTTACAATTATCTAGGATGAAGTCAGACTCTTTTCTCCGAGGGGAAATGCCAAATGCAATCTGGGCCTCTCAGGGGAACCACTCGATCAACAATGGCCCGTGCATTTTTCCAGTCAATTTAGAAAAAGAAAAACAGAAAAATAAGAATCTGAGCTGTACCCACGTGCCCCAAAGCAACTCCGTGAAAAGTTGTGGAATTGGTGCAATTGATTTACAAAGACAAGAAACCCCACCAGTTCCTCCTCCAAGAAGCACTTCTCGGAATTTCCCCAGCTCATATTCAGAACAAGCCCAAGAACAACTGAAGGAAAGTGCAAACCACAACAGCCGGATGGCCCATGGGGCCCCAGATGAAAGGAACTCCAATCCTTGTTTTCTGTCAAGGCAGCGTGAGATACCTGCACTGGGTCCACATGAGGGAAAGACTTCGGCAGATAGTGTCATGTTCGCCTCTTTGATACCAGAAATCCAAATAGATAGCAGTGTTCAACTTGGCATAAGTCCATGCGAAGCTGGCGAGGATGCCACCAAGAGCCTCTCTACTTTGTGGCTTCAGCAGCCGCAGGTTGGGAAAGTGGTTCCAGATCACCCTGCTAAATCGCATCCTGCTCCTCACGTGAATAATGACAGTGGTTCCTTGGCACAGAGTAGTGGCCCACATAGAAGTTTCAGTTGTGGCTTTGAAAGGACTACAAGGAATGAGAAGCTGGCGACAAAGACTGATGAGTTTAACAGAACTGTATTCAGAACAGACAGAAATTGCCATGCAATTCAGCAAAATCGAAGCTACTCACAGTCATCTGAAGATAGTAAGCACTGTGATACCTTAACGACTCCTGTAGCTGGCACATCAGAAAGCGACAGTGTGACTGATATTCTGAAAACCGGTGCCCGCATGTCTGAACCGGTGGAAAATGTGCTTGATAATCCCACCAAGAAATCCACAACTGGCCTGGTCAGACAAATGCAGGAACACATAAATCCCGGCGGTTACCGGAATGTGCTTCACGGGCATGACTGGAGACCAGGCAATTTATCTGGCCGACCAAGATCCGCCGACCCCAGGTCAAATTACGGTGTTGTGGAAAAGCTGCTGCACACGTATGAGACGTCAAGGGGTCCTGCGTCGCAGTGCTCTAAATGCGTGCGGGAAAATGGGACCGAATGTGACGGTGACGTCAGGGGTAGCGCCACATCGGGTCTGCATTTGGAAGGGCTTCCGATGGAGCGAGTGTCTCAGCCAAGGACAGTTTTGTGTGGAGGACAGCAAGTGAAACGAGGAGTAGATCGGAAAAAGGTGGCAGAGGTAAGAAAGCCAGCTACTTCCTGTGGGAGGGCGGCATCTGTGTTTCACACAGGTTCTGAGTTCGGTTCAGTTGCCTGTTGGTACCAACAGAACGTGGACACATGTCAACATCTTTTTAGCTTCTTGCTCTTCTGTGAATAAGTGTGACTCAACATGAACTTAACATGTACTTTTTAGGACTTAGACCAGCACATTAAAATTTTTTTTTTAAATGAGTAAATGACATCAATATAGTAAGTGGATTTAAGAACTTTGGGAAGATCAAAGATGTACAGTTTATTTTTTTAATTCGGAATATACATTTATAGGATTTAGATCATTTTATTCCTTCAAAGTTTATTTTTTAAGGATATGGAAAATATTCCTTAAAATAACTTTGACTTTGTAGTTATTAAATATTCGTGGTTCTGTCATTCTTAGCATTTAATTCATGTTCTCATAGGATTTGCCACAGAAATGTGAATATTGGTGAAACACGTCATTTCAAACAGTACCTAATAAAGCGCTCCTATCTGCGGAACTAAAACAGTATATGGAAGAAGGTTATTCTTACTTGCCTATATTTTTAGCTTGAAAATTGCCAAAAAGTTAGAATTTAAGTGAATTATTATCTTTTTTTATCCTGTCCATTTAAGAAAGAATACAGTCTTCAATAAGTATAGGAGAAAAAGAGGTCAAAAAATTAATATTTAAAATTAAGAGCTATAAACTCTCCTTTGTGCATGTAAGATTTTCAGAACAGAACTTACAAAAACTTAGGAGATGTTATATTGTTATTGTTAGTCGATGTTATAAAAATCCTACTTTTACACAATATAGTATGTATTTCAAACTGCATTTAAAGTATTTTAGGGCTTTGGGTGTAGTTTAGGGCAGAATACCTGCCTAGTATGCAAAAGATGCTGATTTTGATCCTCAGTACTAAACACACAAAAATAGTTTTAGTGATAATTTGACCAGCTATTCTCCTGCTAGGAATCTTCCCAGAGAGTTAAGGGCATCACAATGCAGTGATCCATGCACACCATGTTTATGGCAGCATAATCCATCATAGCTAAATCGTGGAAGCAGCCTGCATTCTTATAAACGAATGAATGGATGAAGCAAGTGTGGTACATATGGACAGTGGAGGACTACTCCGTCGTAAAGAAGATCAACTTGAGTCCTTTGTAGGAAAAAAAAATGCATGCACCTTCAGACCTAGTGTTAAGTGATGTAGATCAGATACATAATCTTGAATATCACATGGTTTGCCTAGAAACCAAAAACATAAACAGAGAGCAGGATAAAAGGAAAGTAAACGCAGGGAGATAGATATTTCTCAAATCGGAAGGGGATCCGGAGATGGAGGGAGGAGGAAGAAAGAGAGGGAAAGAGAATTTTTAAAAAGGCTTAAGATATTTTATGTACGTGTACAACCTCCTCACCAGGAGTGTAAACATTATGTATTGTTTACATGGACTAATAAAAATAAATGAATAAAAGAAAACTCTTGTGAAATAGTTGCACAGTCAGTGATCCTTAGTTTCTAAAAAAAGGATCACATGAGTCATTTGGTTTGTGTGCTTTTGGGTTGTGATCTCTAAAAGTGTCAATGAGTCAATGATCTGAGGCAAGTGAAAAGTTTCCTCCATAAATATCCCACTAAAAAACATCCATAGTCCCATCACGTTGAAGTTATTTTACTTGGACATTTGACTCGAGTTCATGGTTCTACAAAGAGATCACTAATGTTAAAATTCATGCCATAGTCCATACTAAAATTGGAATTCTTATTAAAACATGCAAGCCTACACATATTAGACAAATACCTTGTTTAGTTTTTAGTGTTTTTCTTGCTTGTAAGTGTCCTAAGACATGGGTCCCATACTTAGGACTGATAATGTATGAAGCCCATTGTTAATGCCTGTGTAGTGAGATTAATGCCTTCTTTTGTGTCCTAGGAATCCACGGCTGTGAAAGCAACACATGGAAAAGGATTTTTGCGTCCTGCTAGGCCAGCAAATCGCCGTCTCCCATCCAGATGGGCATCCAGATCTCCATCGGCGCCCCCTGCCTTGTGGAGAACTGCCCCCAGCTGTACCATTTCTCTCCAGCCTGAAGCACCAACGGTTTAAGTCTGTAGTCTGGGTTGCTGGATTACAAAAGTTCTGATCCTGGCTGCCAGACTGAACATTCTGAGTGTTTACAGCTAGTCCTGTTCTCTTCTGTATCTTTCAAGGTTCCTGGGATGAGCAATTTAAATCTTAACTTACCATCAGTCTTCAGTGTTTTTAAGCTATGGAATAATGATCTCTATGTATTTTGATTTCCTAAATCAGAATTTTTTAATGTCATATTCATTAATCCCCCCCTATGATTTAAGTTGAAACAATGTACAATACTGTATATTCTGACTTTCTTGCAAGTGGCAGATAGCAAGATTATGTGCATGGCCATGTGTTTGTAGGTGCATGTCTTGCAATAGGAAGTACTTGTATGTATTTAGATAAGGAAAACTTATGTGATAGTGTTGACTTTGAAATTATAACATGTACACCTATATACTGTTTGTGTTTATTTAAAGGCTTTGAAGATATACATTGCTATTTATATTTTCTATACCTTTTAATAGGTATCTGCCTAAAAGCATTTGAGGTTCATATATTGATTAACCACTTCCTTGGCCCACACATACATTGAAAAATAAGAATTATACAAATATCCAGCAGTAGGAGTTTTCTAAGTGCTCTTCATGAATAACTTCTTAACCTATTGATGAAGATGACATTGATTTTCTTGTTTATTCTTTTAAATAAGAGTCACAGGTTAACAGATCAGCTTCTAAAGCAAGCATAAAATGTTGATAAAAGTTTTTGTGTATCGTATGGTGGTCTCAAATGGCTTTAACTGTATACTTAATTTTTTGAGCCAGTGTCACGAGGCTGCCTAATGAACAACAGGACTAAATCATGAATTTATTTTGTCAACCTCAGTAAAGAGCATCCCTTAAATGGGATGTAAAAAGGTTAAGTCATGTTGAATTTTTCTTTCTTTGTTAAAATTGTGATCAGCTTTTAGTTTAGCTGCTTTACATGGAGTCATACACGTTTAAAGGTAAGTCATTCTTCCATTCCTGCCTTAACCTTTTCCCTACAATTGTAGAAGAGCTAATTTACTTTGTTTTATTAACAAGCTTATTGCAGTATACAGTCTATTTCTTGTGGTGTGCTATAAAAAACAGTCTTAAACTAAACTTTGGCACCCAGAGTAGCATAAGGAACAGAAATGCGTGTCTTGGCTACAGTTTGCATACAGCGAATGAATAAAATGTATCTTGAGAACTGATATAAATAGGAATATTGAGGGCCTGGAATTTTACATAGAGGATCTTAGAAGAAACTTTTGCTCTATTGTCTCCATTTAAAACAAACTTTGTCGTGGTGTTAGTTACACATTAACTATATGTAGGCTTTTCTTTTTTACCAAAAGGCTTAAGGGATTCTCACATCAAACATAAAGAAGAACCTTCTCCTTGTGATGTTGTAATGACTTACAGGAATTCACTTGGCTATATACTGCCGTGAGGTAAACAATTTGCAAATTTCAGGAAGCCCTAAAAAGCTCAAGGCTGTAGCATGGTGGTGGCTTAATTTGTGCTTTACAATAAGAAGAATTCCAGAAATTAAACCGAATTAAATTTCTAGGATATGAGTTTGGATTGGATGGTAAATAAGGGCTTCAGACCTATTCTTCTAACTCTTGTTTCCATCAAGGGATAGCTTTTTCTACAAGAAATCTGTCAAAGAAAAGTAACCTAGACACAAAGTGGTATCATTCTAATTATGTCCTTTTTCCACCAAAGGGGAGAAGACACTAGGAAGGTGATACCCTGGGGTGTGAAAAGATGGACCAGTTAGGGGAACGTGGCACCCAAGGACTGTGAGAGGTGCCTCTTCTCTCCATCCCTGTGACAGGCAGCTGGACACGATTTGTGGTCCCTGCCTCTACCTACACATCCCGGTACTAAGGATCTCTTCTTTAGAAGATGAAATTCCTGACCTCGACCCCATAATTACTAAGGCAGTATTTCCAAGAGTAGGAACTGAGTTCCTGGGTGTCTCTAATAAAACCAATCCAAACAAAGTAATGCAAAGTATTTGATGAGCAGATAGATTTGGAAGCAATGACACTGACTGATAGCTGAATAGTGGGGTCTTGGGTCATCATTTTCTTCCCCTGACTCTCTTTGTGATCTGTAAACGGACTCATTTTGCCCATTGTTATGATTTTAAGCCCCTTTTGTTATCCAAAAAAAAACAAACAAACAGTGGGACCATTTTAACATCTTATGTTGACTAAAATTGTAGAATACTGGAGCTGAAAAAATAATGAGCACCCTGTCCAAGCCCCTGAATGTAAAACTGAAGAAACCAGTTCTGTGTATTCTTTTAAAATATTTTCTAATTTTGTAATGGAAAACCCTATAAGCAAAAGAGAAATTATCCTTGAAAACATTTTTGATGTATTGTGATTTTTAACTCATCAATTTTCTACTTGAGATGGGCATTTTCTTCCCCACATGCTCTCTTCATGATCCAGTCATTGCTGGATTTAAGGGATTTATTGATGTTTATAAAACCATTTACTCCTATTTGTAGATGTTTTCCTTAGAAGAATTTTGGAAGGACAGTCTTACATTATTTCACAAAGAATTACTGATACCATCTGCTGAACTGATAAAACAGTAAGAATGGCACAGAGAAAGCTTCTTGAGTATCTGTATGTGTGATGTGCACATACCCCACTCTCACAGAAATTCTAGACATTGCCTCATGGCCCAAATATAAAAATGTAGATGATGCTCTGTATAGTTCACCATTTGAAAAAGTATGCACAATCTCCATATGTCTCATATAGAGGTGGTGAGTCTGATGTTTCATTTGGTTGATGTTACCCTAAAACATGGTTTACTTCAATAGCAGTGATTGAACCAGGAACTGTATCATCTGGACCTAAAAGAGTATCTGCTTCCCTAAAAAGATCTGTAAAATTATTTTAGGCACACTTGCTGAAAAGCTACTTGATATTTGAAATCTTCAAACCTTGGCAGTTAAATAAAATAAGTTTGGAAACACCCACTGTGGTATTTGATTACATTGAGAATATTTTTATTTTCCTCCTTTTGAACAGTATATTTTAGAAAAGCTGAGTGTCTTAAGAAGTCTCAATCCAAGTACTTCAAAGATAGCTTTTCCAAAAATACCTCTAAATAATAGAATTTAAGCCAAACCTGCCTGATTCCCTGCTCCAAACTACATACAAGCCCATGTAGTTTCTCACACGGTGATAGTCACTCTGTGTCCATTTAGCTGCCAAATAAATTTAATAAAAGTGTTCTTTGAAAGGAGTGTCCCTTCTGAAATTTGCATTTATGTGAAGAAATTGGTTAAATATTCTAGGCAAACTCAAATTACTAGTATAATACTATTTTGCTTCTAATTCTACATGTTTTTCTTAAATGGCAGAACCCTTTATCAGAATTTAAGGGCCAGGGATGTAGCTCAGTGGTGCTGCGCCTGCCTGGCAAGCTCAAAGGCCTTTTTCAAATGGCTTGATTACTGGAACTGGAAAAAAAATACGAAAAAATTGAAAACTATTTCTTATTCTCACTTAGAAAATATGCATCTTCAAATAATAGGCTTCAGCATGCCAAAAAATGCTTAAAAATCAGAGAGTTCTTCAGGCAAGAGCCAGAGATAACAGCTACTCAGTTATTTTTGATATATAAATTTTTCTTATCATAGGAAATCATTTCTGTTTCTGTGGAAGTAAAGGCCACAAGATCAAAATTAAATCCATATTTCAATGATCTCATGAATCCAGTGACTTAGATTGGCAAATTCTAAAAGAAGAAGAGGGGGAAGACGAAGAAGAGGAGGAGAAGAAGGAAACTCAAGAATCTAGGATGAAGCTTTGGGAAGACTAGGGAAGCACCCAGATCTGGAAGGACCTAGAAGTTACTGGGAACAATCTGGCTGTGTGTCTTGTGTTTGTCCTTGCAGTACTTGGGAGTTGAACCCAGGGCCACTCTGCCACTGAGCTATACCCTCAGCCTTTTCTTGTTACTGAATTTGAGAAAAGTTCATACTACATTCTGCAGACTGGCCTTGCCTGTGCAATCCTGTGTCAGCCTCCTGAGCAGTTGAGATTACAGGTGAGTCTCACCAGGCCTGGCTAACAATCTGGTTTAAAGGCAAGGAGGCAGAGATTGTGTGGCTGTCACGTCACAAGGAAGGCATCTGAGCCCAGCCTCCACACCTGTGTCCCCCGTCCCTGTATGAATCTATGTGCAAGCTTGCACAGTACATTTATATTCTGTGACTTGTGTTTCTTACAGCAAACTTGAAGGCAGGCTTTGTGATTTCTTATTACAAAAAAAATGATAATGAGAATAAGTATTTTTGGAGGTGGTAGGTAGAAAAAGTATCTCTTCTGAATGCTGGCTCAGGCTCTTTCTCCAATATTTTCCCATTGAAAGGGAAGGGGAAGAAAAGAGGCAAAAACTTATTTTTTCACTTTTGTTCTGTTTTATACACAATGTTGGAATTGTTTTGTTTATATTCAGTTTCTTTTGATTCTATGATCTTAAAAATCATCTCTCTTCATTCATATAGTTTTGACAAACTCAAAAGTAAACAAAGCTGTCTATAGAAAAATCTCTTCTACGTTCAGTGCCTGCCCTCTGATTTTATTTAAGTTTTGTACATAGGATGTGACATTGATGGTGAAATCAACAACCAGGTGTGCAATCTACATAGCATCCACTAAATCCTGGCCTTCTTGATCTGACAGAGAGTCTCATGCTGTGTCTCCTTACGCTGCTGTAAAAATATACCTGGCCCTGGGAACTTAGAAAGAACAGAAATTGATCTTTCATGGTTCTGGAGGATAGGAAGTGTAAGACCGAGGACCTGGAAAATTCAGTGTCTGCTGATGACCATTCTTTGTATCCACAATGGTGCCTTATTGCCCTCACGTGGCAGAAGGGCATATGAAAAAGAAAGCCAGAGAAGTAGCCACAATATTTTTTTAAAGGAATGTGCCTAGAGGAATAATAGGGGACAATAGTCTCCATTAAAATTTGTGAGTCACATCATTGATTTTAAAAACTTTTCCTAGGAAAGCTCAGGCTAAGAGAGAGAAGCTGGACCTAGGGTATCACTTTGTTCAAAAGGAAATTGGCCATGTCACCTTTCAAGAAAGTCTCAATGAATTGATGAGGTTTCATGCTCAGCAAAAGCAAAAATAAGTTTCCAGCCAAAGCAGGGCCTGGGAAAAGCACAGCAAGGACTCGAAAGGGACGGGAGTCACACAGGTGGTCATCCTCAAAGGGACTGTGTCATCAAGCAGCGCTGAACATTGCACCCAGGCCCCAGGTAGAAACTAAAGGTCCAGGAAAGAAAAGTGGCTAAAGCCAGATCTGAGATCAAGAAACCCAGACCTAGGAAGGAGCGTGCGGGAAGCCAGGACCTGCAGCTGGGGGAGTAACCACCACCAATCTGACCCTCTAAGTGCCAGGCTGACCTCGGGTATTCTCAGGAACTCCAAGGGAGAGGACACGGAGGAGCTCACACCAGGGGTTGAAGAAGATGTGCAGATGTTGCAGGGCATGAGCCCTCTCTCCTTGCTCCTCATTTATTATTACTTTCTTCTGACTTTAGCCCCAGAACCTGAAACTTCACTAGCGCAACAAGTAAAAGAAGTCATCCATAACTTCATATTAGATAGATGCTAAAAGCAGCATTAGATACCTAGAAGTTAAAAATTATATTTTTCTGCAATACAGATTTAAAATGGACTTAGAATTAAATAGAAAGACCATTTTCCAGAATTTAAGAAATGACACAAAGTTATATGAGGTAGCAGAAGCTACAATACAATGTCAGTAAGGAGGGCCTGAGCCCTGTCTGCAGAGAAGGGAGGAGGGCTTCCTGGAGCCTAGGAAAAAAGATCCTGAGAGCAGGGGTTTCCTGGGTGGACCCAGGGCTGTCCGGCAGCAGAGGCTGGGGTCTGGGAGTAGAGACTTCCTGGCTGCCCGGCTGCACCACTCAGTGAGTCCTACCTGGCTCCCTCAGACGGCTCTGTGTCACCGGAGCCCACCTGCTCTGTCTCAAAGGAACCCCCTAGGTTCTGGGAGACGTTAGAGGCCATGGAATGTTTCCACGAAGTCCTTTCTACTGAGAGAGAAAAGACATCACCACCCAAGGGTCTGTGGTAGTGTCTTGCGATAGACCATTGAAAGGGAAAAAAAATTTTTTTTAATTGGAAAGATTTTAACTTGAAATGTTTGAATGCATAAGCAAACAGGAATCTTGTCTGCTTTGTCCATTGATTATACCAAGCACTTGGAGAACTATGAGCAGATGGAAAATTACATGCATTAATGAAAAATTTTAATACTATATTTGAATCACTTGCTATCAGAAAGAAAATGGTTTATCTCTCTGTGTCCTTCTTTAATCACAGCTGAGCAGAATTTGCTTTTTTCATAGACATGTCCTCACTCGAATTTACATCATGGTGATTTCTCATCATATTTTAAGAGTCTGGGTCCATGGAAAAATGGGCACCGAAGTGAAACTGCTGTTATCTTTGTTGTGCAAAATTTACAAATAATCACAGGTAAAATGAGCAGAACTATTGCTAAAGAGATGAACTTAATGGAGGATTTCAGACCACTGATGGTGGAAATCTTAAGATCATATAACATTTTTAAGGCTTTCTTTTTTATTTCTGGGGAAAATACAGCTGAATGGCTTCTTTTGTGGGGGAGGGAGACCGAGTGCAGGGGGCTGTGCATGTCAAGCACTGGGCTACTTTCCCCCTTCTCGAAGGGCCTGTGTGAAGGGAGAGAAGCAACAGATTTCATGGGCTTCTGTCACGCACAGTTGAAATAAGTTTTCAGAATTTACTTGTCCATAAAATCAACTCAACTCTCCTCAACTCCCACCTTTTAATTCTGCTACAATCTGGTCACACCATTGAAAGTTTTTATATTTTTGTGCGCAGAAGCTATACTTGAAATTTCTTTGTTAAATAAGCCACCTTTGAGAGTCCCAATCGCCCATTAGGCAAGGCAGTGATTCGCCTTTTTAATTCACACTCTAACCACTGCCATAAATTTTTCGTTATTTATTTTTTAAAAAGAAGTCATTCTGATGAGTGAAATCCTAATCAGCATTTCCTCCTCCTGAGCTTTTCTGTTTAGCACTAACTACATGAACTGCCTCCCACTGAATTTATTATGCCCTATTTCCATTCACTTCTACCTTCTCTTTAAATATTTTTCTGGGAGACGTCCTCTTTAACCCAAGTGCATTATTTGATTCCCAAGAGTTTTAGATTTTCCTCTTATCTTTCTGATATTGATGTTTTAATTTTGATTCCACTATAGTCAGAGTATATTCATTCTATGTTCTTTCAGTTGCTTTAAATTTATTGAAATGTGGTTTATGCTCAGGATATGGTCTTTTTCTGGATGAACTGATCTGGATCTAACAACTAGTGCAATGTTGACTAAGAATGGCAAGTGGGAATATCCTCTTTCATTGTTAACCTTTTTTTTTTTTTTCTTTTTTCTTTTTCATACCAGGGATCAAACTCAGGACCTTGAGCTTGCAAGGCAGGTGTGGTGCCACTGAGCTAAATCCGCAGCCCTTTTATTGGTAATCTTAGGGAGAAACATTCAGTGTTTCATCATTACATCTGATATAAGCTGTAGGTTTTACATGGATTGCCTTTATCACTTTGAAAAACTTACGGTTTATTTCAAATTGGCTTTGTGTTTTATCATAAAAAGTGTTTTGTCAAATGCTTTTTTCTGCAACTATTCAAATAATAAACCAGTCTTCCCATGACATATCCCTTTGGGCCAAGTGTATAAATTTCCTTATAAGTTGCTGGCTTGTTTCTCAGCATTTTGTTGAATATTTTTTGTCTGTGTTCACAGTGGACATTTATCCCCAGATTTCTTTTCTGAGATACTTTGTTGAGTATAAGGGTAATGTTGGCTTTTAAGGAGACTTAAATGGTCTTCTCTTCTATTTTTTGAGGGGTTTGTGAAGAATTGGCATCAACCTTTCTTTAAGTCTT